AGCAATTCCAGATTACCAGAGGAAATCTTATGTAGCGTTCGTGCTTCGCGACGGGATCGCAGCGGACGTGTGACCGAAACGTTGCCGTCGCGAAGTCTGAACGCTTCCTTAGCTTATAATTCAATAACGGACCAATTTAGGGGCTCAACAATGGAGTAGTGCATCAAGTTAAAGTCAACATACCTATCAAAGGTGTCAATACAGGGAAGAAAGTCTATATTACGTACAGCACTGCGAAAGCTCGGACGAGACCTCCAACTGTGGGCACGGTACGTCCTACTTATTGGAATGTACCCTCATCCAAAGCATATTCTGTGCAAGAGGACAAGTAACCAATGCCATGTGATCAGTAAAGAAATCACAGAGGGGGATTCCCTGCTGTGGTAAAAGAAGGATAAAGTTCTCGCCGTTGATCAGTTCCTTTTTGGGATGCGGCACGCATTCTACTTCCATTCAGAATCGTAGTGGCTTATTGAATGCGATATGGTCCATAGAATTACTCCGGGAGACAGCCGATGAAGACCTTAGTGCCATTATCCTCCCAGATCGATCTCGTACCAATTCACCGGCTCCAAGGGGTAGAAGGCTTGATTAGGCCTGGCCGGGATCTGGACGCACGTGTGGTAGGCGTGCCTCTTGGCACTTCCGCCTCCTGTGGTCTGTTGAACTGAACAAATACCTAAATGTCACTACAGGTCTGGTTTCCTCCTTTCTCTAACCATAAAGCCACGAAACACAACTGTATTTGGTTCTGCTCAGGATACACCAACTCCGAACTTTTCCGCTGTCGCGAGCGCTACAACAACGCGTCACATGGGGATAGGAGTATTTGGAACGGGTAAGTCAGTTCTGTTGACAGCCTTCATCAGCCTTAGTCGCTGCGAGCGCTGGAGCCAAATTGCGGCCGCTTGCCAGCTTCCACGGTTGGTGGAAAACTGGCTGGTGCTGCGTCAAAAACAGCCCCCTTGAGACGCCTTTGCGTCCGCAGCGGACAAGACTGTAGCTTTTACTGGCTCTTATTATTCTTCGCGCTGAATTCTCTTCAAAGGCACGCCCCAGATTCAAAAACGGTCACCTATGCGTCTTCAGTAGAGGGTTGATAACACAGAATTGACCTGTCCGAAATGCCCTATATAGGACTCCATGCTGAACCGCACTTGCACGTGCACGTATACGGCGTAGAAAGGGTGTGGTCGGACGAGCACTCACTTGTTGGTTCCAGCTCTTTCTCATCATCACCTCATTCACCATTTGAAAAGAAGTGAGAGTTAGTAGCGGAACAATAGCACTATCAGGTAGCAGTTGTAGGTGAGATGGGCGTCGCCCTGGTCAGTGGGCGGAGTCGTGGTTCCGTCGCGAGTGCTTGACGCTTTCTTCAAGTACTCTGCGGATGTAATACACCTCCCATGCTTGCAGTCAGAACTATCATTGTCTAACAATTAGAACTGCATAAACGTAAATGAGTATGAAAGGCCACCCCCTTGAAGGCCACTTGAGATCGGAAAATTTTGTATAACAACGAACACATTTTAGGCATTGTGTAGGTGTAAAATTGCGGTTTTATCGAGCCCTCACATCTTTCGCCTAGTACGATCTTCTTTTCCACCCTAAGCACCACCTTCTTGAGCTGTCGCAGGTTCCTACCACTTTTCAGCTTTCCAGAAATTTCGTAGTCTTCAAAAGCCTTCGAGCTGAGTTGGGACGGGTAGGGAATATCTCGTTTACTTAATCAGCTAATGTTTCGCTAGCAGAAAAGTATCTACTGTATTCTGGATGCACTGTCAACACAGAAAGGGGAGAAAGACAAGTGATTGTAAGGGGGGGGACGTCCTGCTGTTGAAGGAAAATTTTGCAGAATACGAACCCTTCTGAAAACTTATTCCTTTGGTAAGGAAACATTTCGCCATCCCACGTCTCCCTGTTCTCATACTACTACCTCTTTGCCGGAAATTTTTTCTGAGGACCCCCTGTTTTCCTCCCGAAAACTACCCACCAATAGGGATGGGTCAGCGCTTCCTCCCTGACTCTCCCGTGGGGAATCCAACAACAGTCGCAACGTGCTTAATTCACTAGGTCTTTCAGCGCGAACAATCAGGCTAGAAGGTAATCTAAATACGATTCAGTTTCTCTACTTGGAAAACCACCCGATAAAATGCCTCCTCTACTCTCCTCCTCGACTGGCGTAGTGGATGCGTTTGAGGATGATAATCACGCCCTAGACGGATGATCCCAAAGACAACTCGACATGCTTTCAGTCCGAGCATCGACCAGAGATTCAAGGAAACAATTGATATTGCTCGAAGTACGTTACTCTCCCAAAAAGCTCGTTGGGGAGGAATAGACACCTCAAACAAACGATGGAAAAAGCTGCGGGCTACTTAGGTACTATTAGACACATGTGAAAAGAGAAAATTCATAGTAAAAAAATTTTCAGCGCAGACTGGATCGTTCCTTTTTGCGGCTGTTAATCTCCCAATCTCGCGATGCCCGGCCCCCCCCCTTACTTGCTAGGGCACTCAGGGAAATAAAAGAGAAGTGTGCATTCGGCTCGCCTAACCATCTAGCTACCTTCCGCTCAACCTCTCTCTAAACCTGCGGGCCATTTCGTGCATACGTTGTTTTCCATACAGTACTCCTGACCTCTTTCCGCCATTTTCGTGTTCTCACCGGGCGCTGCCGTCATTGATCGTATTTTAATTCATTTTTGAAGTGACGCATCCAAGGGCTAGCTGACAGTGTCCAAGGGCCAAGTTTTCAGTCCAGTATTTGAAAAAAAATGTTAGAAGTGGGGCTCAAGATGTTGTTCATTTTTAGAAGGCCTTGGAATCGAGATATTAAAAGGAAGAAAAGGATGGGTGATCTGGATGATATTCGTCGGTTTTTTCTGCGGATCGCTCACAGCCCTGATACTCGCTTTTATCTGTATCCATCCCAATCGCCGAACTTATTACGCAGACTGGTGAGTGGGAATCCAGAACATAGGCTTGTTTCTGACGTAAGACCGATAATCGGTTAAGAGTCAATTGTAAGGCTGCGTTCATACTTTGCGACAGCGTCCGCCAGAGTTCCGAGCATATGACAGCGTCAGCCACCAGGAAAGTGTAGGTATCGGTCTAACGTCTGCCATCGTCCAACCAGCAGCAGCTAGAGGGCTAGGGAATATAGGTATTGATGTAGCGTCTGCCAGCGACCAGCAGCTTCCCGGGTTGGAGAGTATGGGACGATAGGAGGGTAGTAGACAGCTGGTAGAGTCTAGGGAGATAGGGTAGCAGACTGCAGGTTGAGGGTATGGCGCGATGGGAGGGTGGCAGACAGCTGGCGCCCTCCTGTCGCTCCGCACTCTCCACCAGCAGTCTGCTGCTGGTCGCTGATGGACGCTTACAGACGATGGCGGACGCTAGATCGATACCTATACTTCTCTAGCCCTCGAGGCGCTGCTGGTCGCTGGTGGACGCTGGCAGACGCTAATCGATATCTGCACTTTCCTGGTCTCTGACGCTGCCGGACGCTCCGAGCGCTGGTGGACGCTGCCTTAACAGTCCTGCCATCCAGGCGCGACGAGTACAGATTCGAGTGTCTTAGCCAAAAAGGAAGTATTTTCCGACTGACTATTTTTTAATAACAACGGATCTTTCAAGGACAGCGTTCGCGATTGCTTGGTAGGCGGAGCCAGGAGACTACGTCAGTGGCGTGCCTCTACTTGACACCTTCGTAGAAAGCATGAACGGGTTAGACGCCCCAATGACGCATTTCTTGCTTCCCCATTTGGCACAGCGACTCTTCGCAATTTCCGTTGGGTGGTTTCCACTTGTCTACTGTCTTTTACCGGTTTTCATGCCAGATGTAAATCATAGAAATTATACACTACCTTTAGTGCAACGCGTCATCGAGAATGGCCATTTTGTAGTTCTGTGGGTCGATAGAAAAATACACCTAGAACCGATTATTAGTAGCTCGAATGGCCGATTGCGAAGGCTGTAGGAATCTACGGGGTCAAGTAAATCACAGCTATGCCCCCAAAAGCAGTACAGGTCTCTTATACATTTGATTAATTCAACCTCAGGTATCGTGGTATGTACAAACGATATGGTGTCGATCCATCGAACGTGATGTCAGGTGGAATCACGGGAAGTATGTTTACCACCGGGACAAGTGTAGGTATGGCAGCACCTTCTCTAGTTCGTTACAAGTTAAGCAAAGGTTCGCTAACTGGTAAAGACAAACTGTACGCTCACCTCCAAGAACGATTCTTGCCAAGTGCAAGGAGAGCGGGTTACACCTTCTACGCTCGAAAGCGCGCGGAAGCGAACTTATAAGGTGGTGCTATTCGATACCTGCATCCTCAAAACCGTTATTCTCAAGGTGCAGCGACTGCGTTGGTACAACATTCCCCCGGCGGCAAAGATGGGCAGCCAAAGTAGAGGGCAGTGCAAGCGTGAGCCAGAAAGCAGCGCGTTCGGCTATGGTTACACGAAGCCATGCGGCATACCATGTGCCAGCGTGCTTTGCTTGCTTGCGCCGACACATTCGGTTTCGGGATACAAGACCGTGACCTCAGATGCACAACGCGCTTGGGCTCTGTCGCACGCAATGGTCAGCATGTGCTTCGCCCAGAAATCGTTGGGCGCGTCCCCATTAGCGCCACGCTAGCAGAAAGGCGACCGTCGACGCCACTCGTCGCTCTTCTCTCTCGCTGAGGCGAAAATGGCGCCTGCCGCTCCCCCAGCCCGGGCCCATGCCGTAGCTGGATGCGGGCGGTTCTTCCACTACGGCAGCAGCTTAGAGGATATTGACTGTACGTCAAGCTCACCGCAGCGAACGTGAGTATTGCTTAGTAGCAGTGTCGAGCAGCTGAGGCGAGCGCAGGGTAGGGGCCAGGTCAAGGTGCTGTTAGGGTATGTGTCTGTCTTATCTGTTTCGGCTGTCACACTCTCTTGTCCTACTGGCGAGGCTGGACAAGGGGCAGACTAGTCATTGGGGTATTACTGCTTTACTGCAAAGCTTCACACCCGAGGCTAGGGGGCTCTGCATTTGCGGAGCGGATACCGTACTGGGGAAAAACAGTACGTCCTCCGAGGATTTTCAGGATGACTAGAGCTCCGGGTAAAGAGCCTGCGAGGGCTCTGAACCACCTCGGATGAGTCGTGTTGGAGGAGTTTGGTGGGCGACTACTTGCCCACCAAACTCCTCCAACACGGCCTAGACAACCTCGACAAACGGCGTTAGCTTTCATTATCCTTCGGCCTCATTCCATCGGCACTGTCGACTGACGGAGCTGTCGCACTTTCACATATGCGAGCCCGCTGTTCCTCGGAAAAGGCAAGTATCAGGATAGAAGGAGGTAAGCGTACAGTTTGTCTCGAGAGTTAGGAAATGACGTGCCCCATAACTCTTTAATATCCCAAAAACGTTTGGCAGTGCTTCGTGACGTCAGTGACACGTCACCTATCTTTTGAGAGGTACTGTACCAGATCGCGTACCCCGTGCTACATCAGCACTTAGGCTATTATGAAAGTGCATCTTACAGACTTCATACTAAACAACTTACTGCTCATATTTTATTTCAGTTGCTCCTCATTCGACTATCGGACCGACAACACTGGGAGATACCACGGGAGATCCAAAGAAATATGATACGTCAAGGGGAACATACACTTATGACACTGCAGGATCACGTGGGAGTACAAGTGGCGCTAGCAGCAGTAGTGGTGGTAGTACTAGTAGCCCTAGTGGCACTTACGGCAGTAGTCGTTCTACTAAACATACCAGTGGTCGTTCGACTAAACACACCCGTGGCACCACTAAACATGGCACGTCGAGGTCATCATCCAGGTCCAAAGGCTCGGCTTTCGACAGTTATGTGGTTGCCTTGTAAAATGTTATCCAAAATAAATCATCAAGAATTTTTTGTTGTATTTATTCTGAAACGACATGATGAAAATGGAAAAGTAACGCAGTTCGGGAGGAGGCATGCGGCAGCGCGGTTATGTCTGCTCATAAGAGGCATAGCCTAGGACGGCCATCTGAGGTATCGCGCGCGAGATACTTCGAACGCTGGGAATCCTCAGCAAGGAAAGTCGTTTTTTAGCTGGGAGGGGATCTTGTTCGAATCTGAAGAAAATTTCTCGGTTTTCCCTGTTTCGAGGGGAGGGCGCTAGCGCTATTTACCCTCCTTGCCCCAACCGACGTAGTTTTCCGGGAAAAAGTGGAGGGAATTCGGGGAAAGTTAGGAAAATGGTAGGTAGGCCATAGAGGGTTAGGTCGAATTTTTTTTTGGGGGGGGGCTCGCACTTTGCTGAAATATCCCTCCCAGCACAGGAATATATCCTGCATTGCGTTGTGCCTCTGATTGTCAGTGAGCTGTTGTTGTGTCGGATTTGCGCGCAAAGTTATCGGTTTATTCCTTGTGGTGAGTTCGAATTTCTTGCAGCCAACTAGTCGCTGGTGCAACAGACGGCATGTATACACATATCACTCCTTTTCCCAGACCCACAGACGGTCCAAGTCCTGCAGTATCGAGCCTGAGTCGGCAATTGTGGAAAAAGCACCTACTAGCGAGGTCTAACCATGCTCTCCGTCCTGCTCGTCTCCGCCAGACCCTTACCTTAGCACAGCGCGCATCTCTAGCATGGTTTATCAGAGGTTAAACTGAACCTGGGTACGCCAGCTACTACACCCGCATGTCTGGAGCTCGCTCGCTGAGAGTGGCCTCTTTGAGAGCAAACTGATCGCACTTAAATTTTCACAGACAAGAGCATCAGGCAAGAATTTTGCCAGAAATATAATTAATACAACCTGCTCACAAAAAAATAACATTTAGTTATCAATGGAACTAAAAATGACATAAAAAAAGAAAATAAGGGTTGAATAATATTAATCAAGAAGTTGCGACATGCTCTCGAACGCTCGCAAGGTCGCCAACGAGATTCATGTACGCCATTGTTAGAGTTTGATAGTAAAGAAGCGGTGTTAGTCTATTAACTAGCAGCCATAGGTGTTGAATTGACTTCCTTATCAGTATTCACGCTTAGAAAAATACCACACCCTTTCCTTCTGCTCGGCGACTCGATTCGAGATGAGGAGGGACAGGGCGAGAAGTGTGGGACAGTCGATGTAATCAACCCCTCAAAAAAGGGGGGGGTCGTAGACTCGGCATAAATCCTCAACATATGTATGTGCCCTGGCTTCATAAGTTGTGCGAGATAATACTCGTAACGCAGACCGGATGTAGGATTTGCTCAAGCCGATCTCCAATAAAGTTTGAAAGGGCAATGGTGGCAGTTTAGGGGACGGGGACAGCCTTTTGCTGTTGTGTGTCGACACTCATCGTGCGTGAAAAGCTGGAATGTCAAGATAGCAGTGGCCATAGAGCGTCATGTACATCAGGTAGTGCAGAGAAAAACAGAAAAAATAGGGCTTAAAGGCAGTTGATACGATAAATCCCTAAAGACGAGTACGATTAATACAACTGGCATGACAGAATTCCGTGACCGTGAACAGGCGCTGCGTAGCGCCTTTTGCAAGGAGGGTACCCTTATAGCGCCCTATCGAGCAGCAACATCCGACGGGACGCCCACCCGCCTACCATCGTACGTCTAGCATCACAGCACGAGGACGTGCCGTTGTGGACCGCCCGTGCCTACGTGTAATGTAGTGTAACGTAGAGCGACGTAGAACGTACTGCTGGCTTTTTGCCAGCAGTAAACGGTTCAGTCGGTAGACTCGTCCAAAGCAGCGCCCGCCCCAGCCGTTCGCTCGTCCACTGCCGCAGTGCAGCGAAGAAATAAAGCCCCCATTTCGTAGTTTCCCCACTATTTCCCCGCTTTTTCACTATCTCTGCATTACTCGCACCATTGCTTTTTTCAAAGTGTACATGAAATTATCGTGCCAACTGCCTTCGAGAGATTAGATCCCATTCGTCCATAAACCTGTGGAAAGGGAGGACACTTCTTATACCTGAGACGGAGGAGGGAGTGGCATGTGAACGTGGCACAGGATCGGTTACTCGTGAGATATTTCTTTGATACAACTGTTACCATGTTCCATGTTGGACAACGACATGATTACAACTGTTCCAAAATGAAAATATGTCACGAAAACCTTGGCCGCCGTCGCGTTCAACTTGAGTACGCAGCCACACCTACCGCATCTCAGGAAGAGTGTACGCGGCGACGGTTACGAACTGTCGTCTAAAAGCGTGTCAGGCAAAGTGCCGCGGTAAAAACCCGTTCTCTGCCAGTTGTTGAACAGTTCTTGGGTAACGAGTGGTACGAACGCCGCGATACAGTTCTGCTACTTGCTCGCTTTAATAGCTGGTGGAGAACTCTGCCAAACTCATCCCGTCTGACACGCCCCTCCGTCCGCAGCGAAATACACTATACACGGTCCACCGCGTGGACCGCAATGAAACCCAGTCCTGGTATCCTACGATATAT